CTATACGAGAGACAAAATATAATTATAAAATCCTACTACAACAGATTATGTACTGCAACAGAATGTACTACAGAATCATTGGCTATATACTGTCATTGGCCATGGTAACTGACCGTAGTATAACGAGTTTAATCAGATAGATTTTTCTGTTTATACTACCCTACAGAATCAATTAGGGTTAACATTTCTGCTTTTGTTAGGCAATTTTTCTTCATATGTGATGCAAGTATTGCAGGCAATTCAAGAGCAAGAGAGATCTCTTAGAGACACATTCAAGAAACAGTCAATAGACTACCCTACTGATCTCCATGTATAGCTTTAACTGAGAGTATATATATATGCAAATTCATGGCAAATCCTGTAGCAATTCTATGAAAATCTTAACTTAGTTAATCTATACTTTACTGTTATTGTTGAAATTTTGTTGCTTTCAATTACTGCAGTAACTTTTTTAGCATAATAAGTTACTTAGTTTTATGATAAATCTATTTTGAATTTAAATTTCGATTAGATTTTTTAAGTTTGTTGAGATATTTTGGGATTTTTAAATTCTTATTATGCAGATTTTTCTGCTGATTATATTCCTAATTGGCTATTTAAAGTCTTGGTACGCTTAATAAAATAATTGAAAGACATTTTCAAACAATACTTTTAATTTTCTTGCTTCTCCATCATTTTAAAAAAACCAACACTGGTATCAAGAGCTTCATTGGTCTTATGGGATCTTTGAGTTCTTCCAAAGAATCGTTTTCAAATCATTTTTAACCAATATCAATTTTTAAACTCATTTTCAAACATGGCAAGCAGCAGTCTCTTTTTGAATGCCTCACAAACTTTCACTGGTGGTTACTATCGAATTTGCTCAGTGAAAATAAAATTATATCTTAAAACCTATGATTTGTTGAATGTTGTAAAGGAAGAACAATCCTTACCAGCAATACCTGAAAATCCTATCATTGTCCAGAATCAAATACTTCCAAAAAGAGATTTTGATAAGACAAGGTCACTAAGGGTGTTCTTCATGCACAAAACCATAAGACGAAAAAGAAAGAAGAAAACAAGAAAAACAACTGCAATACAAAAGTGTGCAATTTCAGCGATGCTCAAAACAATGCTCAAGGACAAACAACCGAAGCAAGAATTGAGGAGGAGCAACTTTTTTAATTGCAGCAACTAAAGCAAAGAGTAGTGTTGAAATTTTGTTGCTTTCAGTTACTGCAGTAACTTTTTTAGCATAATAAGTTACTTAGTTTTATAATAAATCTATTTTTTTTGAATTTAAATTTCGGTTAGATATTTTAGTTTTGTTGAGATATTTTGGGATTTTTTTAATTCCTCTTATGTAGATTTTTCTGCAGATTATATTCTTAATTGGCTATTTAAAGCCTTAGCATACTTAATAAAATAATTGAAAGATATTTTCAATCTTTACTTTTAATATTTTTGATGCCTCATCATTTAAAAAACCAACATTTATACTTAATTAATGCAATTTATACCACAATGGGACAATCTCAAAACCTTCTTTAAAACTCATATAACTCCCATGGTCAGTTTGTCACCTGTTAATAGAGAAACTAATAATGGATAGAACCAATCAGCTGATGTCAACTATAACCAAATGTTTTTCATACTCTATTACAAGAAATAAATGAAACCAATAGCATAATGAAACTGTTTAAATCTGTCAAACAAAATAACAGTAATCATGTCAACACTTACCCCAATCTCGCTAGCTTGATCATTCACGTAACTTCCATCTTTCCTTTTATGAGTCTCAATCCACACTTTGCCTCGATCAACTTCTTTTCCCTATTTCATCTGAAAGTTTTAAAAAGTAGAATTAAACTAAATAACTCTTGTCACATTAAAGCGACAGTAAGTACGTTGTATTAAACAACCATCAAAGCCCTTCTTCTAGCCAAACTCATAGCAACACTAGTATGGGGCAATGTTTGTTGTTCTCAAATCCATTGATTTCTCAAGCAAAGTGCCTAATGTAAAAGAAGAATCTAAGTTAAATTTTATTGATTTTGGCCAATACGTGAGAAAATGTTGCTTAAAAGGGAGTACATAATGAAGGGTTTGAGTTCATATTTTGTTTCAGTTTTTTTCTTGCCCCCAAAGGATGAATATTTTCAAGAATATGTTGGAACAGGAGATCTCAAAAAAAATTCCATCAATGGATATGATCTAGTTAAATATGAGAGAGTTGTTGCTGATGAATTCTCAAAAGATATACTTCGATTTCCAAGCTTGATCCAAAGGTACTTGAATGTGATTCTTTCAAAGGTTTTTCTGGTACTAAATTGACTTTTTGGGGCATATCCCATAAGCACCACATTGATATGGAGAAGTTCAAGATTCCTGAAGATCAAAGAAAATAACTTATGGTTATGGATTAGTGATTAAAAATCTATTTAAGAGGACTCGCTTTAGAAATATTGGTACAAAGTTACAATTAAGAAAGTGAAATTTAGTTCGGCCGCATGCTAAAGTTTGTCATAACACGATGAAGCCCTTTGATAGGTTAGAAAAATGCAACTTAGAACCAGGAGAATATCAGTTCAACAAAATCATAAAAGTTGTCAATCCTGTGCCATTTGTGGAGCCTTAAGACTCGAGGACGAGTCTTTCTCAACTAGGGGAAAATGATGCAAAAGAAGAATCTAAGTTAAATTTTATTAATTTTAGCCAAGATCATGTTTTAAAGCTCAAGTTCAAACATATGGACTTATTTTCAAAAAGTGCAAGAAGACCAAGAAGCTCAAGATTGATTTCAAGAAGCCAAAATTCTTTTCTTCTTAACATAGGATTTATTTTATTCCTTTTAGAATAAGGATTCTCCTTTTAGTAGGATTCTAATTTCTTTTCTAGAATAGGGATTTTACTTTCCTTGTCTTTAGATATTTTATTTTTCTATTAGAATAGGAATTGTAGTCATCAAAGAAAAGACACTAGGCCTATATAAAGGGTTCTCATGCCTTGTAGAAAATTCACATTTTTGAGGTTTGCCTAGTTTTACAATAGTCTTTTTCTCTATTTTGTCTTTTTATCCTTGTTTTTCGTTCCAAGCAAGGTGGTGATAGTCTCTATCTTGTTTTCAATTGTGTGTGGTATTTTTTTATCATGTTAATTGATTCCAAGTGGTGACTTTGGGAATTTATTCAGTTCTTAATCTTTCAAAAACACGTTTTTTGATTTAAATTCTTTCTTTTGATATCATAGAATCATAACTATCATTAAACTGGTGCAGCACCGTTATTTACTTGTTTTGAACGAGTAAATAGTCTTTCTTATAGTTCAGATTGTCATCTTTCACCTCGTTTTTGAATCATTTGATTCCGAATCCTAAAACTTAAGATACGTTGTTTCTTGAAATCGACCCACAAACCACGTTTTCGTTCAAGATCTTGATCTTGGTCGATTGGTTCTTTGTTAACTCGAAGAATCACATCAGCGCCTACGAGTCAAAATAGGAGAATTTTTGTTACATATAAAAAGCGACAAGGGGCCCAGTTGTATAAAGCAAAAAGAAAAAGGGAAAAAAAGAAGCCACAACAGTGGCAGAGAAGAAGCACCGAAACAAAAAAGAGAAAGGAAAACAGAAGCAATAACAGCAGAAGAGAGAAGAAGAAGAAGAAGAAGAAGAAGAAGAAGAAGAAGAAGAAGAAGAAGAAGAAGAAGAAGAAGAACACAAACAACTTTTGTTTCCTTTTTTGGACGATTGTTAACATACAATGCCCATTGGACCATGGGAATGCCTTTTGGAGCATTCTTGATGATATCTTCTTTACTCAATGATGGATCCCTTAGCCTCATGCCATAGTTTAAGCTTGAGTTCCTTTCATTTTTTGTTAAGTGAATTGTTAATTCATCCTTTTAACTTTTTCGAATCACTCGTAAAGAAAAATCGAGACTTCACAAAAATAATATATGTTAGTTTACTGCTGACAGAACTAACATACAAATTAAGCAAAAGAGTTAAAAGGCATTACCATTACGAAACCATTAAAAGCACCGTCCACAAAAGGTTTAGGCATGGATTCCCAACTTTCGAAGCCAATAGGAAAGTATCGAGGATTTATAGCAAGCTGCCCCAAAAATCCTGCAAGAAGGTCGGCTGATTTTCCAATAGGTTGAGCAAACTCATCACATTCTATAATTACACGCGATCCATTCTCCAAGTTATAGACATCCTGAACCTTCATCCTAATAAATTTCATCACTTGATGTTCATTTGCAACAAAATAAAGACTATATAAAAATATTAATCAAGGAAAACAAAATCATTTTTAATTTATATATGTACCTATAACATCGACAACCCAATCACGAGACTCCGAGTCATCTGTAACTCGTCTACGTCTAGTTAGTTGTGAAGAGACACCATCAAATGATAAAGATGCAACAACATTCTGTAATGAGACTCCATCAGATGATGAAGATGGAATGACATTCTGTGACAAGAATTACAAAAAAACGCTAAATTTGCGGAGATTTTATTTACATATTGCTGCGATCAGAAACCTGTGAAATATGTTGTTACGGCAGTTTCAAAAACCCCCGCAATAATGTTCGCCGCAATCAATTTGTGGTATTTTTTTGGGAGACTATCGTTATCATATATCGGTTGGTATTTAGCATCGGTCTAACCTCCGCAATTCGATAGTTTGACTTTGTAAGAACACACGTATAAAAATTAGCGGCAGTCAAAACCCCTACAATATTTTTATTTACCCCCTCCCCCCCTGCTAATTTTAACACAATATTATTATACATTAAATTGTGGCAATTATAACCTCCGCTATTCATTAATTTTTTTGGGCAATTGTTATACCTATATAACTGATCTGATTTCAGTTATGTTAATGTAATGAAGCATCATCAGATTATATAAATTGCTTACTAGAATCAAGAAGCATTAATATGCCTATTAACAAACCATAAAATACATTAAAGTAAATTATCATTAGTCTCAAAAACAGACTTTAAACACAACTACTACATCCATTAAACACAAAACATCAGTATTATAGTTAGTATTAAAACTAACTTTAAACAGAACATCTACTCCAAATATTATGGATAAAAGATCTATTATGACCATTCAATCGAGTACGATACATTGGCAAGCAACTTCAATGGTTGTCGTTAGGATTACTTCCACCAGATGATCTTCTTACATCCATGGGTTAAATGGATCCGCTAGCCGCATCACTTGGCTACAAAAAAATTAAAATAAAATATAATTAACGAAAAGTACCTCAACAATCCTAATTAATAATCACTTGGCTTCAGTCAAGTATCAGTAACTTCTATGATCTGAATACGTAGTAAGTTTATGACAAAAGCCATCACTTTGACTCTTTATCAAACTCTCTCAGCTTCTTCCAATATCCCATAATTCATTGATGTTTCTACTGGCCCAAATTGCTATACTTCTCAGTTTTCCAAAGTAGTTAATAATGGTTGTGGAACTAATGATGGATTACAGAAACACTAGGAATTGTACCTTCGTGACCAAATTGGAAGAAAAAGCAGTTGTACAAGAAGTTGCTTCTGGTCTAGAAAGTGTTAAGAAACTCATCAGATTGTTATCTCAGACTCAATCTCAACAAATACAGCACCAAAACAGGGACATTTAGAGATAAATAAGGCCCCTATGGAAATTGAAATGGTGACCGATGTTGTTGTTACAAAGTTCAAAAAGGTAATTTCACTTCTAGATCGTAACAGAACTGGACATGCTAGATTTAGAAGAGCTCCTGTGGCTTCTTCTCGTCCTCAAATTTCTACCAAAGATTTTGTTGATACCAAAGAACAAAGACTACAAGTTTATTTGCAATTTTAATACATTTTACTTACACATTTGATATTATTCATAAAAAGCATATGTATGTATATCACTGACCATTCAAGGAAGAAAATTAAGTTAGCAATAGAACCTTACAAAAACTTAGCTTTTGCAGTCACATAAGAAGAAGAATCTAAAGATAAAAACTTTAAATCTAAAGCTAAAAACTTAACATTTGGAGAGAGCAGCAGCTAAGCACAAGCTGAAAGTGGGGGAAAAAGCACACCGGCAACAAAATGAGAATGCATGTGTAGATATAGGAGTGAAGAAAGTGAGAAAAAGAGTCAAACGCCACATAGCACAAAAGTTTTCTTCTTTCTCAATTCAGAGTCACATTTGGACTGATCAATCACACTTTCAAAATTAAATAAAAAAGTTATGAACTTTTCTTACCGTTGAAGGAGGAGGAGAAACAAAGATCCTTGCAAATTCTTTAGGTATCCTCCCTTCTTTCATTACCATATATGCCTAAAAGCATTCATCATTTGAGTGTTAACATTCATCATTTCTCTGTAGTTCTCTTGGCTTTGATTGTGAGCATTCAACATTTGATTGTATGATATTGAGAAGAACATGAACCATTATTATAACTTGAAGCATTCAAATCACTATAACGAGGTCTTGTTTGTCTAAAAACTCTGCCCTAATCCCAAGCACCTTACCCTTCCAGAGTGCTCTTTTCCCAGTACCTTACCAACATCATCATTTGGCGAAATTTTAGACTCATCCACGGTGCTTTGGTTCAATGCTAGTTTAATTTTTTCCTAAATACATTATACACCAAAAGTCAGTGTCCTACCTTCAATCATTGATTGATAAGTTCATAAAAAATAAAAACAAGAGAAGAAGAGTATCTTTTTCTTTTATATCAATTATAACAGCAAATTTATCATACTTACCAGTTTCTCATGACTAAACTCTTAAATTAGCAACAGATAAGATGTTTACTGAAAATTTTAATACACATGCAAATTTGATAAAGATGAACCTAATTCCAGAAATCTGGCGCGTGCATAGCTGTCATACAGATATGACAGAAGCAATACATTGGTAAATATCACATGAAGATACAATTTGCAGTAACAAAAATATCTTCACAACATAAAATTTTCATCTAAAACTTTGGTAAGATTCAGATGCTTCTAAAAATGAGTGTCAAAAGAAAAAAAGATTGATAGATTCCTTCTTTTTGAAAACATTCACTTTTTTAAGTTTTTCAAGGACTTATAAAGTATTGCCGTCACATGTCTTAAACCAAATGATAATCAAGATTTTAATCTATCTAACAAATGATATATTAAAGGGTGAAAACCAAGTAGGAGAAAAAAAATGAGTTAATCAAGCTTAAGTCAAGAACTCGGTATAACGCCTATAATCTGCTGCCTATCATCAGTCGCGGATCAAGAAATCAGAGAAAAGACATACACCCGCATATTGCTTGTTACAACATATTTTAGAACCAATCACTGATTACGTACTAGGTACCAAATGACAGCAAATTTGATGGAAGAAATTAAAAACTTACACATATCTCTTTTGCCGCCTCATTAACATATGATTCATCTTCATTCCTATGTGTAGCGAGATAAAGCTGTCCTCGTCCGGCTTTTGTCCAGTTTCAGCCATCTATAAATGAAAAAGTTAAAGTCACGTTAACTTAACTAACTAAGAATAGTTGTTAGTTTAATTAAAGTATTCAAAATGAATCAATACCATTTCAGTCCTTCTTCTGGAGGTAGGTTTGGAGCCACCGATATGTGAAACAATTTGTTTCTTCCGAATTTCAGCATTTCTTTACAAGTTTCCTTGCAAAAAGATACCACGAATTACACATACTTGCCTATTGTTTACTTGTAAAACCATAATATCTCTTTAACAAAAGAACAAAGGCACAAATGATGCCAGGAGAAGGAAGAAAGTTCAATTCCCATGAATTTAGGCGACTCATTTTCTCCCAAAAGTGGTACCCTATCAGTTGCTACGGCAGCCTCTCCTTTGTAAACTTGAAAAAATCTGTTCTTTTCACTAACCAATTGCGGCTTTTAGCAAAGCCTTGAAATTTTTGGAACTCATCAGAAGATAAAGATAGAGAAAGAATTAAAAGAATTGAATCTGTGCCTTAAACCCCCTTGAAGTAATGGGTAAAATGCTTGGTTTTGAGTTTTGAAGGCAGAGAAAGAAGCCCTTTTGTTTTTTCCATTTTTGTTAGATACAATCTATCTTTACAGAATAATATAATTACACATACTAATTGAAGCATTGAAATAAATACCTGTGTCTTCTCTTTAAAGCGGTAATCAACATAACAAATTCATTGATCCGGTGGAATTCTCAGTGGAATGCTATCCATTATTTCAGCTCTGCTCTTAAGTGGATCATAGACCTTGTCAAACAACTTTAGCCTTTTTGCGCCCCACTTCTTACACATAGAATTATAAATATATCGTCTTGCATTTGACTCAGTTGTCCGAAAACAAAATGTGGCTTCAAGAATAAACCAATGGTTAGATAATTATTGCATGCAAATATAAAATCTAATGACATAAAATAGAGATATTGTATGCCTCAGGAATACCTTTATAAATCGATCATAACAACGGTTGAAGATTGTCACAGGTAAATCCGGCTATTTCTCAAAGTGAATTGAAAAAATGGAGCAGTCAGTTGCAAAATTTCCACAAAAGCCTGCAAGAACGCCTTGTCCTTCACCAATGGGAAAATCCGTCACTGCTAGAAATTGGACCTATGGGAACAGTTTGTTGGCGACGGTTGAAATAACTGTTGTTATAGATGCCCTATTGCAACAATTATTGTTAGAAAATTAATACTAATAAAAAAACAATATTGAGAATGCTTGAGGCGTGAGAAAAGACTTTCCTTAAAGAAGTTATTGTCCATATAGAGATTTGGGGAAAATACAGATAATCTTCTTCAAGATACAACAAGCCACAAATTGGTACTTGCAGATTTTTTGAATCTCTTTGTAGGAAAACTCGTGTTTATTTATAGAGCAAAAGTCGGGCCTTTTCCGAAAAATACTTTATTTCATTAACAGATGTGTCTGTTTATATGAATTTTAAATTCAAATAAAATAGATTTTCTGTTATAGAAATAAAAAATAAATTATTAATTTAATAACCTGCCCGGCCCAAGCACAAGTCCAAGTATTTAATATTTGCACATGCATTTAATAGTGTGTATTCATAAACAAGTACATAAAATGGACAAGAACATAAAAGGCCCACAAAGGGGCTTTAGACCACCGATGTGGGAAAGTCCCACGTTCCCCTTGCTAGATAACAAACTACTTCTTTCAATTGTAACTGTTGTAGTAGTATAGATCTTCTTGAGGCGCTTTTCTACTAAACCGTTGCAGTAGTGTTTGGAACAGTTCCATTAATTTTTTCTATTGCCACGGTTTTCAACATCGTCACAGTAGATATATCTACGGGAACAGTTATCTAAAAATAAAATCTATTGGGACGGTTCAGAACTTCATATTCCCTCCTTATTTTCCCCTTTTATTTTTTGTTAAACCCTAACCTTTTGAGTGTGTTTTTGTTTTCTTTTTAATTTCTATTATTTCTTAGCCTAAAGAGAGACAAAGTAGTACTTTGAGACCTTCTGTTGCTAAGTCCAAATCGATAGTTGAATCCAAAACATATCATCTTGATATAACACTCCTAAAGCAGAATTCATCGTTTTTAAACGACAGTATTGAGGTTTATTTTGCCTATGGAGGTCGCAAATCTGGACTTTAAAGAAAATATCTTTTTCTTCTACCTGCCAGGTCAAATTTCACCAGTGAAGGTCCCCGATGTGAACTCCCAAAGAACTCATTGTTTTCTTCCACAACTAGGTCTATTATCGATCAAATCCAAACACATTTCACATTTAGTTCCTTTCGGGTTAGTGAATTTCATATTTACTGCAGTTTAATTTTTGGGGTTTTGGTAGTTTCTTCTAATTTGTTCAATTTTATTTCTTCAAAATAGTGAGTAGACTTACTGGATTATCTCTTCCTATTGTGAATACCTAATTTTCTGCGAGTGGATTGTTTATTTGGTTGTATGCTAAAATTATGCTTACCCAAAATATGCTATGCACATTAAGTATTCGACAAAATGTCGACCCATTAGCGGTAGATACTCAAAATCTATTTGTTGCTTGAATGTATCTAGATTTACAAATATTTATATGTAATCCTGAGATATTGATTCTCTGTTCTCTTTAAACGAATATTAGTTGACCAAATAAGACATTATCAGTTATAGTTCATTTGGAAGTTGTATTATTTTTAGTCATTAAATTATCCAATTCATGGCTATGTAATCTTTACATTGGAAAAAATCAAAAGAGTAGTTCCTTTATTGGAAATGGAATATGTCATTAGTCATCTGGAAATACAAATCAGAATTGCATATTGCAATTGCTACTGAAGATTTAAAGATTTGTCAAAATCAAAGTTTACTTTGATGCTTTTTTAAACTTTGAAAGATAGAAAATTTTACACTTATTATGACGATATGACAAAGAGAAAAGACGAGCCGTCTGAGCATGTTTGTAGGGATGAACCCTGTCGTGGTAAAACTGACCTCCAGACGGAACACCACCAAAATTACCTGATCCACGAGGCCTCTTGGCCTCCCTCTCAGCCCGCTCCTAGCGGCGAACAGACTCTATCTCCCGAGCAATGTCAACAACCTCCTGAAAAGTAGCACCTCTGACACCCTCTCCCTAGTCATAAGTATCCGCATCTTATATGCAAGGCCATCAACGGACCTCTCGATCCTCTCCTTGTCTATGGGAACCAACCAAACAACATGACGGGCTAACTCAGAAAATCACATCTCGTACTGCATCACAGTCATACCATCCTGACGCAGCTGCTCAAATTGCCTATGCAGCTCCTCTCTACGAGACTGCGGCACATACTTCTCCAGAAAGAGAACGGAGAACTGTTGTCATGTAAGGAACGTTGTGCCAACCGGCCTACGCCTCTCATAAGACTTCCTCCAAGTGAAGGCAGCTCTAGAGAACTGAAAAATAGTGAACAAGACCCCCACTGGTCTCTAGAATACCTATTGTACGGAGAATCCTCTAAAACTTATCCAAGAAACCCTGGGCATCCTCGCCCTCTGCACCGCTGAATGTCGGAGGCTGAAGTCTACCAAACCTTTCCAATCTACACTGCTCATCATCAGGCATGACAGGAACCACATAGTCCTGAGCAGCTGCAACCGATTGGGTTGGTGGTGCCCCTGGTGTCTGGAGTCCCTGTACCACCTGCTCAGGTGTACGGGCAGCGGAAGTCTGAGCACCTCCCCCGGCCTGAGAAGTAGTTGTTGCGGTCGGAACAAAGACCGCTTGAGCAAGACTGGTGCACACGGTCAAAATCTAAGCTAGGGCCTCCTGAAGGCCTGAGATAACAATCGGCACAGCAGGTGCCTGAGCTGGTCCCGTTGGTGCATCTACAACCGGAACCTGATCCTGAACTGGGGCAACTGGGGGATCTACAGGTATCGCCCTAGCTGCTGTGTGAGCTTCACCTCTGCCCCTATTACAGCCTCTACCGCGCCCTCAACCTCTCGCGGCCCCAACTGGAGGTATTGGTGGCTGTCTGTCCTGCCCGGTAGCATGTGTCCTCACCATTTGTGAGAGAATAAAATAATAGAAGTTTAGTTACCAGAATCAACAGATTCGCATGGCAAGAATTCAAGAATGTGAAGTTTTCTAAGGGTTCTACAGCCTCTTGAAGATAAGTACAGACGTTTCTATACCGATCCGCATGACTCTACTAAACTCGTTCATGACTCGTGAGACCTATGTAACCTAGGCTCTGATACCAACTTGTCACGACCCAAAATCTACCATCGTGATGGTGCCTATCGTGGAACTAGGTCAGCCTCAACTTAACAACTCATCACAACAATAATAAGTTTGAAAATATAACAGAATCATTTAACATTTAAAGAAAACTGTTTGAAAACATACGAAATCCCAAATTACAATACAATTTAGCCCAAAATCGGGGTGTCACTAAGTACATGAGAGTCTAAATCAGAATATAGTCCACTGCAGAGTCTACAAAAATTAACTGAAATGAGACAAATGATAAAGAAGGAGAGTCAAGGCCTGTGAATATCGTGCAGCTACCTCAATAGTCTCCAAACTCTGAAAGAAACCAATCAGCAACCGCCGCTGCGATCGGTATTACCTGGATCTGTACAATGACAATCACGGAATAAAGAACGAACAAGGAAAAGATCAACCATTAAAAAAATCACTCACCTTGGGAACAATCCTCTATGTCGCTCATGCTCGGAATAGGTGAGTTGCTTGCATGTACCCTCTATCCACTCCCTTCAATGCGGGACCAAATTGGGGACTCGAGGGACAACTGTGTATCAAATAAGACATGTCATGAGTATGAAAATAGATACAAGAAAAGACTTTGACGACTTAAGAGGAAGTAAACTTACGGTTCGAGTTCCACTTTTCAAGGAACGACATGAAATCAGGAGGAATGAGGTTCTCGCTCTTTATTCGAATGAACCTCCCCTGCCAACTTCGATCCATGTCCTTGTCTATGCATGAGAAGGGAGCCTTCTTTGCCCGGCGGGCAAGTTTGATTAACCCCGCTCAAAAGATTCAGGGGAATGTATACTCGGAGCAAGTGATCGACCATGAACCATGGCTCCTCCATATTATTCGTAAAATAGGAAGAGAAGAGTCACGATTCTCCAAAAAGACAGGTGAACTTGCCCGAGGCAAATTTCATATCTCTTGCAGAACTCGAGGACAACCGTATCAACAGGACCAAACATGAAAGGATACGTGTAAACACTTAAGTATCCTTCCTTCCACGTAAAAAAACGTATTCTTCCACGTGTGTCGTGATGTCATCGTCATGACTGGGAATGACTACGTCCTCACCATCCCATTTGCCATTCTCTCGGACAGCCTTGAGCATTTTCTCGATAATAGAGCAAACATACCTTCACGTCTCCTTACCCCGATCACCTTGTGCGGAGGCTTTCTCAACTTTGAAGTAGTTATCTATGGAGCAACTACCAGGGATAAAATTTGTAAAGGGAGGTCCCTGGGCTACTATCGGAGGCACTGCTTCGATGCTGGTGGCCGAGGAAGAATTCATCAGTGTGGTGTTCTGAGGTACCGATTTTGAGGTCTTTGCTATTTATATCCAGGAATATGAAGATTTGTAGACTTGGTATGAAGATTTGAAGGCAAGGTATGAAGGTTTGAAGATGAATTATAAAGATATGAAGAACAAGTTATGAAGATTTGAAGGATTGATGAACAGATGAAGTTATGATAAACTCGAGGGTAACTTAAGAAAATTTGAAATCAAAAAGTAAAAAAAAAAAGTGAAAGTGGAAAATCGGAGCTTTTATAGGGAAAAAATAATGATTGCGAGACATTTCGAATTCGGTAATTGTCGGGGTGTTCAACTGACAACTGACGCGTGTCCAAAGTCAGAGCGACGTGATTGATAGGACATCACGGTTCGTAAGCTTGTGCATGATTTACGAGTGAAGGAACCGAGGTCAATTAGTCACTTCTCAACGCTCTTATAATCTACTCTCCGAGAAGTGAGGGGGACTATCTGTATACGGGTAAAATCGAGGATAGGGTTGCCCATATTTCCCATTGTTAAGCGGGAGCGATATTACTTGTTACTGGCTCGAGTAAGACTGAATACACCCACTAATTGGAAACAAGAGCGGATAAATGATATAACGGGTTTCGAGCACGACAAAACGTGGAGAGAGTCAAGCTCGAGTGAGGTGAAGAACCTAGGGTAAAGGAAAGGTGGTTAACGGCAAACGGGGAGCCGAAATATCTTCCATCAGCTGGGGATTGGGGCGTGGATCATATGTTTATGGGAGAAAAGGAAAGGAAAGATTTTTACCTTATTTATATTTGTATTAGGGTTAAAACTCTTATATTATATAAAGAGAAGGGCCCCTTCCTTTTTGGGCACTGTTTTGTACGAATATCAAGGCAATAAAGTTTACTTGACTCTCACCAATTGTTCTAAGTGTTCTTTAATTGTTCATTCATTTATTCGTGTCCGAGCTCTATCTTGCGAGCCCAATTGAGACCACCCATCAACATTTAGGCTAAACACAAGGCTTTAATTACTACGTCACTTTGGTTTGATTATTCTATTTCTTTCAATTCAACTATTTATTGTTCTTTGATCATTTGTGTTAAATTAACCATGAAAACTTTAAACCGTGTACAAATTTAATTATTATCTGATTTAAGAGGTAAACAATTATAAAGTATGTTAAAAGCTGAAGACTCGAGAATCTTACCTACTAACTTAGAATACCAATTATGAAGCTATCTGCAATAATCATTGGCACATTAGCGGTGTTCATGGTTCGGTTTGGATCGGTTTTTCTCTAAAAGAAACCAAATCAAGTAAGTCGATTTTTCAAATATTAGAATCAAACCAATTAAGTCGGTTTTTTCTCAATTCGGTTTATGTCGGGTTTTCGGCTTTTTCGGTTATTTGCCGGGTTTTTTCTTAAATGTAAGACATACACTATCAAACACATATTTTACCAAGATATATTGATGATAATTGAATTAAATAGTGATGAATAATTTAAGGACTCAATTAAAAATATATTATTTTTAACATGAAATAGATTCTTACACTTAACAAAAGAAAACTACCAATCAAATTAGAATGTAAAGGTAAAGAANATATATAGCTACTCCTATATTTGGTTTGGTTCGTTTTTTTTATTAAAACCAAAACCAAACCAAATTTGATCGGTTTTTAAATTTCAAAACCAAAACCAAACCAAACCAAAAGATATCGGATTTTTTGGTCGGATTAGTTTGGATTTCGGTTTGGTTCGATTTTTCGGATTTTTATGAACACCCTTAGGCACACTGTTGGACATAGCAAAGAGAATAACAAAACAAACAAAAAGTCTAGTCATTCCGTTCGCAGACGGCATAAGAGAATAACAGAATTAACAAGCACGTGAGCTTAGTACCAAATTATAGCATTAATCAAGAGGCGTCTAAGGGCTAATTGGATAGAGTTTTTTTTTTTGTTACAACTCATGATCTCGACTGCACATTATTTTTTCAATTTTAGATTAGCTAAAAAATCAACTAACAAGTTAATTAAGCTGTATTTGTTAAATGCAAACACAAAGTTATAGATTCCTCAAGCTAGAAAACATATATGAACCAGACTTAGAAAATTACCCAATCAGAAGAAGGAATTTAGCAAATTTAAAAACGGGCTATTTTTCAAATATTTTGCAAACACAGGTTATATTATAAACATCTGCCATGTTCTTCCCTCATCCCGTTCAACACAAAACTGTACATCCCTCTCAACTGTGGCTTTAAGGTTGTGTTGCCTTCGAGGGTGGTAGGTGGTGGTTCTTGCGGCTGAGGTGGGTGGTAGAGTGGTGGTTCGCCAATTTGTTGACTGGATTTCTCAAATGATTTGGCCTTGTTAATGGTGGTGAAGTGATATTTATCCGGTTGTGGTGGTTCTACAACCAAAGCATCTTTCCTCACAAGTCTACCATAAAACTAATTCGCGTTGCTTCTTCATCTTCATAATGTAAACCTTTATAATAATTGTAAAGTGAAAAGAGAGAGATTATTAGACTTGGAATAGAGCGGTTAAATTTGGCCCAAGCCCAAATGACTTGTCAACTTGGGATAAATTCAAAAATAGCCAGATTTATAAGTGGTCATTCAAAAATAGCCACAGTTTCAAAAATAATCGAAATTTAGTCACTTTTCATGTAAAGATAAATCTGAACGAAAATATTGTTCAAAATCCGAAAAAATACTCCAGCATAATGTACTAGAACTCCAGTCTAATATATTGGAGTTCCAGTATAATATATCGGTCCAGCATAATATACTAGATATTGGAGTACCAATGCTCTATTCTCCAGTATATTATACTAGAGCCAGCAAAGTATACCGGTCCAACATAATATGCTGGAAGTTCATACACAGGTGCACCGAACTCCAGTATATTATGCTGGACCGGTCTCTATTGCAGTAAAATGGTGGCTATTTTTCAATGACATGGCAAACGCTGGCTATTTCTAAATGATCAGTCCGAAAACTGGCTAGTCCGTGCTATTTTAACGTCCAACTTGCCTAAGGTTGGGCTGGTTATTGACCCGACCATTTATTGAAGGAAATTTTACCTTCTATAGCAAAGGTATACAACCTATTTATTATAAACCAAAATCATTTTAAAATATTATTTGTCTTCTCCACATCTCCCTCTGCTGCTTCTTCATCTGAATCTAACTCTGTACAATGACCATTACAAGAGTAAGAGATTATTAGACTTTTAAACTCGGCATAACACATAATACATAATGACATACTTTAAAAGATTTAACACATCTAACTTCAACCAGAAGACCATAGTTAAAAAAGTTCCCTTGTTTATTATAAATGTAAGAGCACAATTTTGTTTTCTTTGCAAACATTTATGTGCCACTTTTCCAAACGGATTGTCATTTCGAACAGACTTGTATCAATCATCAAATATGGGAGAATACTGCTGTTGTAGAAGAAATTCTCCCTGAACAAAATTAGTTCTCTTACACAAGTAGATCTTGAGGGGAATTTACTAGTCATTCTTTAGCCAAGTCTGCAGTTCCTAGCGTTCAGTTTTTTCTGAAGTTGCTCCCTATAGATTTGGTAAAGTCCTCAAAAGATGCAATAGAAACATTAGGTTCCAGCGCTCCAATCTGCTTCAACCATATCTCCCTCTGCTGATTCTTCATCTGAATAATATTCTCTACAGTAAGTGTAAAGAAAAAAGAGAGATTTAGACTTGGAAACTCAGAATAACACATATAATCACATAACCACACTTTCAAAAGACTTCATCTATAGTTAGTTCTATTACATAATTATATCCTGATTTTTATGACTTGGAAGTCTGCAGGTGAATTATATTCTCAATAACTGAAACATATAATGGATATTGAAAATTCATGCTAAATTGTTTTACTTACCACTAATAGTGTCATAGGCATAAACTTTAAGCATGTCATTTCCCAAATTCTCTAATTGCTCTTTCTGGATCCGTTTAGCAGAATTCACAAGGGAAGAAGAACATTGATGTAACTCAATTAGCTGCAATGTCATACTATCTGCAAATCCTTCAGGAATCTCTTTTATGAAAAAGCAACTTCTGATAATTATACGCTCCAGGCGTGGGAAATAATCATCAGTGGCTCTCCAATAATGAAGATACAACCACTCAAGGAGCAAGAATTTCAATTTAGGAAACCCCATCTCTGTTACTTCCCAGACATCTTCTCCAACATTCTCGCCATCTGCAAAGGCATTCTTCTTCAATTTGAGCACCTCGAGTTTGGGCAACATGCTAATGATTGTCATGTCCTCCCATGGTAAAAGTGTTCCTTGAAGTGTCAGCTTTTGAGTTTTGGTGGGAAAGAACCAGGACCGGGAAGCCTAAGAAAGAAATCATCTGGTAGAAAGCTGCAAGTTTCAATACTTAGCGCCTCGAGCTCATGTAAATATTTAAGATCATCTAGGAATCTGGGCTCACTAAGAAATTGACATTTCCTTCAAATATTTCCTTCGTGCAACTACAAGGACTCAACCCAGAAACACTTCGCAAGTTTTCCAAAGCCTGGTACTTAGCTTCATTAGCTGATATCTTTGGAGGAGAAGGTAAATACATCCTTGTAGAGTGGAGATGCCTCAATTGAGACATTTCCCAAATTTTATTTGGTAAATATATGGTCTGCCTGTGTTCTGGTATATGTGAAAGTAAAATAAGAGTTTGTAAATTCCAAAGTTTGGAAATTGGTAAATCTATAGGAAAGCAAACAACCTTCACAGCCAAATACCTTAAAGAAACTAGGTGCAATATTTCACTAGGGAAACTGCCGAAGCCCAATATCTCCAACTCCAAGTTCAATACTCTAAGAAGTTTGAAATGAAGCCACTCTATGTTGTTGGAAAAAATAAGAGGAACTAGTTTGCTGTCATACCGAGGTATATCATTAACAAGAACGGAAGAAGTACAAAGAGAACGTGTTTTGCTATGAGTAAGATCATCAAAAGAATGGGGAGTATGACCATGGCCTACTATTGACTTTACTAACACCCACCGACGACCTTGAGAAAAAACCCTTTTTGATCCCATATAATTTAAGTGATTATCAACATACGAAAGATTGCCACTTTTAGATTCTCTCAAGATTGCCACTTTTAGATTGCCACTTTAAAATTCAAAAGACATAATATGAACCCCTTTACAAACAAGAACATGAGAGGAAAAAAACAGAAGAAAAAGCAACAATATAACAAGCACAACCTGTGGATTCGCTGGCAAAATTCACACGGGGGATAGAACAGTTATGTAACTCAATGAAGCGTAGTTTGGTACTATCTGCAAATTCTTTAGCAATCTCTTCTATATAACCCAAGATACCTTTCCTCAGCAGTTTACCTTATAACCCATTTACTCAATATTCCTTTGAATCTTCTTCAACCTTTCCCATAACTTCCTCTGCTGCTTCGCCATACTCTTCAGTAAATTTTTAGTGAAAAAGAGTGAGTGATAATTAGAGTTGGAAGCTCAGAGTAACACACACTCACACCCTAAAAAGATTTTAACATATCTAACTTCAACCAGACAACTATTGTTCAAAACGTTCCCCTGATTATCATAGATGTAGGTTATCTAATGAATTTCATTCTTGGCATGAATAAATAAACAATACGTTTATAAATAAAACAAGTTCAGTAGAAACACTTAATAATACATCATCAACAACAACAACATACCCAGTATATTCCCACAAGTTGGGTCTGCGGAGGGGTAGTATGTAGTATGTACGGAGTGCTTACTGAACCTATATATCATAACGAAAGGAAAAGGCCCTAACATGATAATCACATGTACCAGACTTTACGAACTATTCAATTTCCTCTTGTTGAATTCAACGATATGGTTGTTATGCACAAAAGAATCATATAATTTAACACAGTTCCTCAGAAGTTAAACATATAATGGATGTTGAATTTTCATTCAGATTACTTACCTCTAATTATGTCAAAAGCATAAACTTTAAGCATGTCGCTTCCTGAATTCTCTAATTGCTCTTTCTGGATCTGCTCAGCAAAAGTCACAAGGGAAGGAATACATCCATGTAACTCAATTTGCTGTAGTGTCACACTATTTGCGAATCCTTGAGGAATCTCTGTTAAGTACCTGAAATTTCTGATAATTACGCACTCAAGGCATGGGAAATAATCATCAGCGGCTCTCCAGTAAACAAGACTCAACTCCTCAAGGAGCAAGAATTTTAGTTCCGGAAATCCCATCTCTGTTACTTCCCATACTATTTTTAAACGAAAGGCTCCTTTCTTCGTGTGGGGAACATGCTAATGGTTTTCATGTCCTTCCACAATCATTTAATGGATGCTGCTTATAGTTCAAGTCAATGCTGAAATGAAAACAATGACCTAAAATTTCAAAGGTAGAGAGAGATAGCAGAATATTTAGAAATAACGCCCTTTAAGCAATGTGTGCAATAATCTTCAAATAACCCTTCAGACAGGCCAAATTTGAATATAATATTCAAGACCAGCATTACAGAGTAATATAAAGGGGCAGATGTAGTTAAGAACTTAAGGTTTCATCCGAACCCAGTATCTTTGGTCGAAACTTGAATACTTGTTATAAAATCCAGATATTAATTACAAATAATAGAGTTCGAATCCAATAAAACAAATGGGTTGTGGTAGAATACCGAACTCGAATCCATAATGTTCACATTCTGGATACTCCTCTCGATTAATACCACACATAATGTCAGCCTTTTGTTCTCTGGAGAAGTTTTGATGATCAAATCAACCCCAGTTGACTTGCAACAAGAACAGGAAAAAAGAAAAGAAAAAAAAAAGCAGATAACAAGCACAAGTTACACAAGTGTTATGCTAACACCATAAATCTAAAAAACCCAATTCTTCCTCAAATTTTCTCTCTCTAGCTGCGATGAACAGTAGCGACGCAACAGTTGACAGGCAATAACTCCATATTCCGGCAGTGAAAATTCACCAAATTGGTCTCAAAAGAAGCATCTTCTCATTGCGCACAATCCCCAATCGTTTTCATCCTCAAATCCATAGCCATCTACTACAGATTTGAAGATAAACGTAGTAGGTACTGTAGCGCAAAAGCTTCAGTTCTCGTTTTTTCTTTACCGACAACAATGGGCAGTTAAGCAGCTATGAACGTGCATCTATCTCCCACACATTTAGTTGTGGGCGAACCACCTCCAGCAGCTGTAAATAGTGACCAAACTAATAACATACAACATACGTATGCTGCTCAATTGTCCCAACAAAAGGCAGCTGCTACTTTGAATCAAAAATTGTTGAAACCAACTGAAATTATTCATGGCATCCCAACAATCAAGTTTTCAATGGAGGAAAGGATGGAATTCGCAAAAGAAGAAGGTTTACACCAAGCTATTGTAGTGAAGCTTTCTCCAAATGCACCAGATCTAATAGCATTAAGAAATGTACTGCCAAAACTGTTCGGAATCAAAGGACCATCTTTGATTGGTCAACTAGCACCTCGACAATTGCTTATCAGGGTGGATCAACATGAAGACTTCGTTAATTCACTTGCGAGGTCAGTTAACTACTTCAAATACAATGGTAAGGAGCATCAAATCCGAATATTTCCATGGTCCCTTGATTTTAAGGTAAATGAAGAAACGACGAAAGCAGTGGTCTGGATTTCATTGCCTAATCTGCCAACAAAGCTTTTTGCAATGAAGGCTTTGTTGTCAATAGCTTCAGTTGTTGGAAAGCCTATAGCCATAGACAAAGCTACCCAGACTAAGTCGCGTCCTAGTGTTGCAAGAGTTAAAGTGATTCTTGATTTAATGGACAAATTACCTGATAAGTTGCTTTTGCAATTTGTGGATAAACAAACG